ATCACCTTTTTTGAATTCCAAATCTCTAAAGCCCGAGAGGAAAGCTATATAATTTTTTATTCGAAAAAAAAGAAAGAAGAAATTACTCACAGTTTAAAGTGATTTTAAACAAACTACTATGACAACTGGAAAAGCAGGAAACGCATTTTCAAAGAATGAAAGCATGTGATCAAACGCTAAAGGTCAACATGCAAGCAGATTGGACAGATTTGGATCTTTTGAAAAGGAGACGAAATGTTAAAATTAAAGCGACCTTATGTGGGGGGATTCCTATATTGTATTGTCAAAAAGATTCAAACAGATTTCAAAATGTGAAAATAGCTCAAAACTAAAAATACTGAGTCACCCCCAAGAAACTGAAATTTGCACCCGATTGAGTGGTGTAATGTTACTTTCATCTTGCAGATAATAATCGGTAGAATAAGAGCTAAAGTTTCACCAATTTCTATTGACAATCTATCAGAAGACAACACAAAGTCGCCATATTTTCACTTGGTTTTTCCATTGTTTGTTTCCATTCAGTCTAAGGATGTTGATAACATCAAAGGGTCTGCTTGAAAAAGGTTAGGTAAACGGGTGCTACATTTAACTAATCTTCATAAACCCCCATAGGACCAAAAAGAAGTCTTAAATTGTAAAACATTTGGACCACGGAATGCATAATTAAAAGTTACTGCACATGTTCACGAAATAAAAATATTAGCATTGCTGATTTCACATCCGCTGTCTGTATTCGAATTCCTTGAAATCATTCCAGTTAGTGTAACTGACATGGAGGTTCAGATTCATTTCATATCCGGTACAGACCAATGTAATAACATCGTTACATATTCAATGACTAAATATCAGTTCATAGACTCCGATAATTACCGACAAAGCTACCCAGAATATTGTAAATTATAACATGCTAGTAGGGAGATAATTTTCATAGAATTCTAATCAAATGAGACGTATAAGTCATTAACACATATTTGGACAGGCGAGGAAAACATATGCTACATCTCCATTTATGTCCTCAAGCTTGGGTAAACTGGGTGCACAAAGTAATTACAAAAAAACCCGTAATATCTGCCAAGTGTTGATAACCCATCTCAGAAGGTGGTCTTTGGCCGAATCTGACCGTAAAAAATAGAGGGAAAAGGTAGCGCACGAACACGCCCCTTTATTGATGTTAGCCCGGTTAGGGTAACAGGGCTCACAAGCGCACACTTTGTCCAGAGATGAAATAAAAAGATTAAAGAGATTGCATCGAGATAAACGGGTGTTAAACCTATTGCCACAATCCTCATGTTTGCCCGTGCCGTAACTCGTTTAGAACTGATTCTTTCCATTAAAACATTGATTCATACTTTGTACTATTTGCCACTTATTGGAGGTACAAAAAGGAGGCAAATTGATGACTGTAAATTATGCTGATACTTTGGACATAGAGGGACCCTTGTTCATCAATCTCTTTCTCTGGGAAGATGACACAACAAGTTGAATCGGATACATTTAAATGTATACATTGATATCTTTGGCGATAGAGCAAAAGGGCTTGATAGGGAATAATTGGTAACTGTATTCTCTGTCCACAAACATACCCGAAACTTTAGATTTCTGATAGAGAAATTTTGATGAAAAGGATAAGACAACATCAGGAAGCGATTCAATTTCAAACAGATTCCCCATACTCCATCTTCCTTAATGAACATTTCAGATTAAACAAGCAATTTCAATACAACAGGTAACTGAGAAATACCATCAGTTCAATATTTAAAAAGAAAATATCTGAATTTCCTTTTCTGAGTGCTTTCTAAAAGGAAATGTATGTACATAATGAAATGATTGCTGTAGAATCATAAGGAAACTATTTTGGCCTAGCTTTCAATAATAAAGGACTTAGATTCGATAGAAAAATTAAATTTATGTCTTTCATGGGGAGTATTGCATGTACTAAACTTATAATAAAATCTTTATATTTCTTTGAAAAATATATTAAGAAGAACAAAAAGTATAAGAACGAAGAGACGGGTTGCATGTCACTCAAAACCGCTCCTTCTGACATTTTGCCAAGTAGATACAAATACACGTTACATGCATAGTACTTGCAATATATTTAGTTTTAAAAAGTATTGTAAAACGGAAACGAGTTTCATCAAAACAGAAAAAGAACTTAAGACTTCAATAGAAGTATTCTATGTAAGGCATAGAATGCAATAATTTGACAAAATTTTTTTTTTTTTAATATTTAAGTTTTTTCCCAAGATTTCTTTTAAAGGTATATGTAAATGTACATTTTGAAATAGAGAGGACAATTTACCTTCGTTGTAAAGGCAAACCTAGAATTTAAAAAAAATCGTCCTATTCGTTTATACTTCAGAATTTTTTCATGCATCATCTACAGATCAAATGCATGAGATTCTGGTTAACCTGTGAAAATGTTCCGAATCATCTTTTCCTGTGATAAGGACCGCATCATGGTTCTCGTTATATATGACTCATTTATATCAAACAATGTCACCACACTTCATTAACAAAAATAATTTTTTAAAAAAAATCCTACATTTTTTACACCTCTGTGGTCCATTTTACGGGGGTTTAACGGAGTTAAGACTAACAATTATCTTAAAAATCCACCGAAGCTTATGTTACCCCATAAAATTTGATTATGAAAACTTTCATCGCCTAAAAAAGCCGTAAGAAGACACCTTGGTGAACATATATTTAAATAAATGCATATTGAAGCTTGTGTTCTTTTGTCAATATTTTAACTTCAATGACATTTAATGAGAAATGAATTTGTCAAGTTGACATAATGTGCTCATAAAACACATTAAGCTCGTCTAATAAAACTTCGGTAAGTAAATTAAGGATTATGCTATGTTGTTTGAAATACAAGTTTTGGGAAACCAAACGTCTGGGTCATTTAATAGGGAAATTATATGAAAGGGAAATGGAATCGCCAGACGGGTTATCGGGTAGGAACCTTTGCACCGCCCTTCCTTATCAGTCGGGTGTCCTGTAATAAATGCTGCGAAAATGACACCAAAATTTCTTGCCAAATGAAAAAAAAAATTGAAATGAATGGAGAGCGAAAAAAATATGCTTGAATTATGAAAAAAATGCAGATTTTGACTTAATATTGTATGGCAAAGGTCCTTCATTAATTATCAATTGGTATACTAGTATCAATTGGTACTCAGGCAAGTGAATGCAAGTATTCACTCGACTGAGTAGGGTTGTAAAAAATCGCTTAATGATTTAACATCTGATCAGCAAGAAGAATGCATGCATGTTAGCAAATCACTAAACGATTAATTTATATTATACTTATTCAATTATTTTATTTTAATTTATAATTACAATGACTTAGAACTTTTCCCACTTCCTTGTAGTAATATTTTAAAAAAGAACACTGATATTATTAATTCATAGAAAGAAAGTGTATGAATTATTAGAATTTTTAAAAGAACACTGATATTATTAATTCATCGAAAGAAAGTATATGAATTATTAGAGTAAATGTATTCCCGTACATGGATCTCATTGCTGAAGCTTTAAACAATTTTCCTTAAGAACCAAGAATACCACACAAACCCCTTTCATTCAAACTTACAACTTTCAACTCTTGAACATAAATCTTAAAAAAGGAGATTTTATATAAAATAAATCTCTCTTCTTACTTTAAAGCATCATCAAGAGGCAAAATGGCATAAAAATTTCAACCTCTTAAACGTTTTGACAGAGGAACAATTGACAAGTCAAACGAAACATAGTTACTAGTGTCACTTGCGATGATTTAAAGGCTTTAATGTTTGAAAAGAGCAGACTTTCGAAACCAACACAGTAAAAGTCACCGTGCAGCAAAATGTCCAAAATGAAATATAATAAAATCAGATAAAATGTAATATTTATGTAAAATGCTCCTGCCAGAAATATGAGATAACTGAGAGAAGATGTGCCAAAAAAAAAACAAAACAAAAAAACCGGAATTCAAGAATTCCCAAGTACGACATGTTTTGCATTCTACTAAAAGATATATTTACTATGTACATTGGTAATGAGATATGTCTTTATAAATCCATGAAATAAATTTTCCCTTTGCGCGTTAAAGATACCTAATATGGTTTTGGCTTTAAACCGTTCCATGAAATACTTTGAAGCTCTTTTAAACGATCAAGAAATTGAAATTGATAAAATCTTTTTTAAATGAACATGCTCGACCATATGCCATATCATCAGCGATGACAATTAGAAAAAGTGGTGGATATTGTTATAGTATTTTTTGAAGTAGAGAGAACACACATAAATCACCGCCACTCAATTGAGTGTGAAGGCATTTCATGGCTTTTGTAGGTAATTTCCAATTTTTCGTTCCGTTATTGACTAAACAGTCTTTCTTAACAAATATTGAAATTAACTTGAAATGATATTTATGAATCCTGTTTATTGACCACAAAAGATAAATTGTCCAGCAATTTGTATGCTTTTTGATGATGCTTGAGTCGCCAGCAAAAGGTTTGCTTTATTTGTTTAGAGACTTGACTATTCAGAGGCAAGGGTAATTGGTTGTGCAAAGATTTCTTTTAAAAAAGCGTTTCTATCATAACACCATCATACACAAATGTTTGAAAAAGGAGGGGTTCACAATAAAAATATCAGCTGTTTCATATTGGTTAATCAGAATGTGATTAAAAACCAACAAAAATTCTTTAAATAAAAAATATAAACAGCTGGTCATTTCATGATTGTATATTTTTTAGTAATTGAATCTGGAAGGTATAAGTGTGTACAAACCCTTTTCATTAATTGAAGCATCATTTCTAGACTCTTACAGCTTTTTGATTTTTCTAAAATTTCTTCGTGATATATGAATTACATAAGTAGAAAAAAGTACCATCCTTTGGAACACACCTATTTTACACAACTGGTAAGAAGTTTATACAAGTTATCAAAAGTGCAGGGTAATTTAAGCAACTGTTCATAACTTCAGTATCCTAAATATGCACGAATGTCTTGCCCACCATATTGCCATGCATCCCTGTAGTGACAAGTTGGCTCCAAAGGAGAGCCAGAACAGATCTGGCGTGATGAAATGTATCGACCTAATTGGGAAATAATGTCACGATTTACATAAATATGTAATACAAAATGTTAAGATTAGGGTAAGTGGTAAATATTAGTCTCTTGTAGTTAAATTAACCTTGCCAATGCAAGGTATTTATGACCGTTTTTAAATATTCATATTGCATGTAGCCTGAAGATAATGAGATGCAAATAGATAATATAATGATATGCAAAATAGATAATGTACAATTTTACCATAACCAAAGGATATATAAATCAATCAGATTGAAGAGAAATGAATACATTTCCTAAACTTGTGCTGAAGGGCAGACAGTGTTCCTACATGACACATTAAAGCAGATTATATTGTTCTTAGATTCCTCTACTAATTATGTCACACCTAGCCATTAATGGAGATTTCAATGATAATGAGGAATAAATGGAGGTTTTAATTATCATTTCAATTATTATTCATCATATAGATATTGGTACTTTAGTTACATAAATGCCCCACTGACATACATGTCTTATTATGTTTAAGTTTAATAAAATGGTAAAGATTGCATACATATTGAAAAGTTAACCAGTCCAATATATATACATGAATATCTATTAAGGATGGTCTTTATGTAGGTATGTGGATTCGAAATATTTTTTAATGCAGGCATATAGCCCAGAAAGTTTTGAAGAACACAGAAAAAAATTGGCTAAGCACGTATCACTGAAGTGTCAGCAGATACAGCCCCTTTTCACAGCAGCTCAAAAGACCCCCAAAAAGTATACTTTTTCCAAAACAAGTTTAAAAATGAGCGAAGATTTTAGAGAAAAATAAAAATTGATAATTGTTGCTCAACTGTTGAACGATAACATAAGTTTACAGTTAAAATGAATTTTTCTGACGTACCTTTCAGTATATATTCTACAACAACTGCGTCCTCCTCTTTGCATGCGATGGCGTCGAGTGTCAATGACGTCATAGGGAAACTTGTCATGTATTCAGGCATATTACCGGCTCCTGTAAGAAAACCCTGCAAAGTTACAGAATTAAGTCTTTTGCAGATGAAACTGTTGGTATCACTTCTGTAATAATGCTTAATGAGTTAACTTACACCCAAAACATTGTTTTAAGCTGCTGAAAGTTTGATGTACTATTACTATGTACTTATGACCTTTTCACAAATGCAACGCTATTCACCACTAGATTTACATTCATGATTAAGTAAAAAAGACATGTGCTTTTAAAAAAGGGCAAATGATTTGTCTCACTCATCATGGATGCATCATTTTAAAATTACGAATACATGCACTATGTTTGCAGCAACAATAAGATTAACGAGCAAGAACAAATTTTAAACAGCAGTTCAAAATGATAAGTGCAGTCAGTACATTGACATAAACGATGAAAAACTTACTTCTCTGAGATTCATCTAGAATCCAGCGTCATTTATAAATAAAATAAAACAGATTTCAGCGCCAATGTAAATAAAGCAAAGCGTTGTATAAATTGTCCAATACTTTGTCAACTTCCCCGTGACGTCACCGTAAAATAAGGGTACTTAGACAATAGTATGAGCGCTGGCTTACTATAAAACTGAAGCGTGGAAATGATGACAGACAGTCGGTAAGACCCCTCCCCCTTCTTTATGACCGACATGTTTAAATGCCCGTGGAAATTCTTTAAGCACGTTCCAAAAAATCGATGAAATGTTAAATACTATTTATATTTTGTTATTCTTGGTGATGTCTGAATTTCATGCTAATCTTTTATACATTTATTTAGTTACTGGGCAATTTGCACAAAATATTTCCGTTTATGAAATGCTTATTTTACAATCTTGTCTGCATGAAATCTATTTTTGAAGTTTTATTGAAAGTGTTGAAAAACAATATTACATATATTAGATTATTCTTTATGTCTCTTTGCAGATTTTGGTGGCCAACGATTTGACAGTTCAGAAAACCTAATAGGTATTTTCTTAAAATCAAAGAAATTAATTAAAACAATATGCAAAACAAAAAATATACAACCATCTTAAAAACATTGTTTTAACATTTGATTTGATTTAATTTAATTTTTAGAAATGGCTCAGCATACAATTATTCATACACAACACAAAAATGAAATGAAAAAGACATTTATATATAATAAATTAATAATAATAGATGTATATTTGAAAATACCAAAATAATACAATATTTTAGAACTCCTGATAAAAATTTCCAATGTATTTATGAAACATCAAAGGAGCTTTAAAAAGTATAATGAAATTTAGAATTATCATAAGATATATAATAGATGTATAATTAATTATGATGATAATTATGTTCCGATATTTGCAAATGTTATTAAGTTAAATACAATAACTTACAAGTATTAAAAAAAAGGTAAATATCTTGTAATATCGAAAGATACCATTTGTAACACATATAGCATTATAAAGTTATCACTCTTTTACACTTGTGTATTGCAACTATAAGTTGCACGCTGGTTAATACAGATGATTGTATTTGAAGAGAATAATTTGACAAAGTGCTTGTTTATAGTAAGAATTTTTAGGTGTTAAGAAACAAATACAGCGATACCAAAACTATCTTCCACCCTTTGATTTCTTTCATTCTTTAATTTTTTTTTTTAAATTTCATTAAATTATCAGATGTTCACATTGTCATATATATATATATATATATATATATATATATATATATATATATATATATATATATATATATATATATATATATATATACATAAAAAAAACTCCATTGCTTGGTTGTGCTTGCAATCTTGTAGGGAATTTTGTTTTGCAACAACATAGTGTATTGAACTTTAGTATTACTTATTGTTTTGGTGTGTTGCACAGTTATAAACCTAATTAGGTGTAGATTTTACTTGCAGTGAGAATCATGGTATAGATTTGATTTTTTTTTAAGGTGAGTACTTTTATCTATTTATTTATGTTAAGGCGCTGTTGACCTACCTCAAGGGCAAATGAACATTGACAATGCAGCGAAGCTTATGAATTGATATTATAACCTTATAAAATTAACATTTTTCCTACACAAGAACATATGTATAATCTTTTCAAATATTTTACTCTGTTGCAATGTTTACTCTCTTTTTCTTAATCTAATTAATTGGATTAATAGGCAAGCTTATCGGGGTCATTTAGTATCATTATGAAGGTACGACTCCAAATTCTTACTTGCATGGACTTTTTACTCAAATCATTGATAATTATAAATTTGACTCGATCTGCATGTATTCCCTCAATGGATAAGAATTTATCCGTATCAATTTGTGCTTGACTTTTTCATACATTTTTAAGGCCATTTCAAAAATGTATTTGAACACTGGATTGTGTACAATTTTTTCCCGTTTGCGCGATTATGACATGCACAAGGTGGCTGTGACTAGTCAACACAAGGTGCTTACTACTCAGTGGCACCTGATCCCTGCCTGGATGTTTTTGTTTGCTCTGCTCCATATTTGTGTCATTGCAATGGGCTTTTTAGCTTGATTTCATATTTTATTAATAATGTTGTAATCAAGGAAGGTAGAAATCTGTACGTACTTGTATATGAGATTTGAAGGAATTATTAATAGTATACTTTGCAATGCATTTACAGCAACTCAAAATTTGCATTCAAAATTTTAGGAAAAGTAATTATATTTGTAAATACCGGGGTATTTAAAAAATTAAAGATTAAATATAATCTGCTTTTATATACTACATTAAGATACATGAAAAATTCTTTCGCATGGAAATCAGTAACAGAAAAATAAAAAAAAGACTAAGTGGCATTGTAAATTTTTCACTTTAATCTGTAAAATGTACACTTTATTCGGTAACATTTACTTTTCCTTCTGTAAAATTTAAAGTACAGTAAAGTATAAAGTGTTCAAATTAAAAATATATTTTACCGATTAAAATGTAAATTTTACAGATTAATTATAAATTGTGAAAAAATAATAAGTTTCTATTTGGCATTTATAGGCTTCCTAATTTTTTCGATAAATTAGTTTGAAATTTCATTTTTCTGGAGAGTCGAAAAGAAATCTAATCTTGTCATAATTTATAAAATGTGTTATCAATAGTTTTTTAGGTATAATGTATAAATACGTTTTAAAAATAATTTTCGCAAAGAATGAAAAGCAAATCTAATCATAATTCATAAACTATATTTTGAGAGTTTATTGCGCAGGAAAACCAAATTAACCTAGTGAAATACTGAACTTAGCCACAGTATGAATATATTACTTCTTTAACGAAATTTCTAAAACAATTTTCCTGTTATTTTCCACATTTTCTAGTACATCAAAGAGTTTCCCTCTTTTAACGACAAAAAACAAATATCATTCATCTGCCTTCACGGAGGCTTGCATCAGTTTGTGGGAAGTCAATAATTATAGCAATAAATGGGATGCAACACATATAGAGTATTACAAAGTAATCCACCAGAAAACATAAAATTAGTGTTTACAATGCACAAGACGTTTACTAATAGTTTGTGATTGAATGACTGAAATTTTCACTGGTGAATAAAGGTTCAAAATGTAAGTCGTAGGTGCATTTAATTTATGAAATGAAATATTTAGAGATAACGAACAGTTTTCCAGCTCAAGAGTTCATTATACAGAACAAAATTGAACCAGAGAAAACACGGACATCCAAAAAAATCAGAGATGGGATCAGGTGCCATGGAGGAGTGATCATCCCCTGACAACCGGCTACAACCGCCGTCCGCTTCTTGTCATGATAAAAAAATAACGGAAAAAAATCCGAAATTGAAATACGAACAATTGAAATTAGTTGTTCGTGTATTTGCCTTTCAAAATTAGCTGGGTACATAATTTTTTTGTAGCGAACAACACCATTTCTGTATAAGCATACGTATATTACTACATTTTGCTAAATGAAGGGAAGCAAAGATTGTTTTAAATATTTTCTTGATTGGAGAAATTTTATATCACCAGAAACTATATCGTATTTCAACGGCTACAATACAAATGTTTGCATAAGTATAGATATCTCTTTTGTCGATGCTTCTTGACATTATCCATATGAGTGTTATTGGCTTTAAATGAAAGATAAGATGAATCATAGAAAACTTAACTTACAAGAAAGACCTAAGATGAATCACTCAAAATAGCACATGAATATGAGCTTCAGTACTGTCATTAACATATGTAATCGGATGTGCAATACAGTGTTTATTAAACTGTATTGAGAAGAAATACAAAGGGACTTTAGCATCCGACACCATAGATTAATAATACTCCACATTCATTCATGGCAAAAATGCCAAACGTATGTCTCATCTTGAGAATGAAATATATGGAGATAACGAACAGTACTCAAGCTAAAAGGTCCATTCAAATAATACAAATCAGGAGCAGAACAAACACGAACCTGAAACATCAGAGGTGGGATCAGGTGCCATGGAGGAGTAAGAATGCCCTACCCACCGGCCACACCCGCCGTGTGATCCGTGCCATAATCGGGAAATGGCGGGAATCCGTCCACAATGCGATGTGTTTATAATGGTCTTAGAATTAGTATGACAAACGTCAGTCATTATTTGATTTAATAATTGATTGTTTTTACTGAGAAGGTTATTGTATCGACCACAGAACTTGCAAAATGATGACTTAAGACGAGATTGTTAATATTCTTGTTTCATCAACTTGTTTGTAAATAAAGTGCCTCATTTTAGAAATTGTTCATACGTAGCATATGTTCTTGCGTATCGAATCAAATGATATAAACCTCATACATGTATGAATGTGAAAGGGATATATTGCTGCAAAGGTAAGGAATGTTGACGATTGAAAAAAAAACAAGTCTGCAAGTAAGTCTCGAATGCAAAACATAAACTGGGAATAACTATTTAACATTTCACTTTTCATAGGTTTGTCAATACGACATGAAACACAAAGATGACAATTTAATGTACAGTATTATATCAACCCGTTTGAATCCAGTAACATTGATTAATTTCATGAGAGATGTTGGTATGAGTTATTACGCAAGTAAAAAAAATGAGACTGACCTGCAGAGAGCAGTGTTTGCGTTTTCGGCAGGTGTAATCTTTTTTTCTTTACGAAGGTTTGACGCAGAAGCAAAGCATGTCAGTTACACAAGAACATAGATATGCAATTTCATTCATTGTCACAGACCTATAATGAACGGGCGTTTACTTTCATTCTGGTTTTTTTCTAATCAGGTTTAACATCTGCATTAATTTCGCATTTCTATTTTCATACATTCTTAAGAATATGGAGAACTATTAAGAAAATTTCAAATCAATAACGATAAACATTAAATATTAATTAGCCTGAATGGCTCTTCAGTTGACGTATATGGTACATATTAACGTACCTGTTGAATGTTTATCTTTGTATCATTCCAATCTTAAAGTAAAGTGAATTTTCTCTG